ATCTGTGTGAAAAAGCCATGTGAAGAACATGCTTCAGCTGGGGAGCATGATCGGGGCAAACAAATGCTGTTCAAAGGTCAGAAGAGAGGTGGACTGTGGATGGATTTTTTACTTCAGGGACGTAGAAGTCACTGTGACTGAGCCCAGAGTTTCCGGAGGGTGCTAACTAGATTCTTCAACTCTCGTTTTGTTGGCTGTCAGCACCTAGGCTCCAGCTGCATCACTCCCATCCCCACTCCAGGACCAGGAGAGACACATTGCCTTGATACTGTCACCACATAGTAGCCTAGAGTCTTACTAAATGCTCCCTGTCCTGTGGATAGAATTTATAAAAGACCTTGCTGTCTTTTCAGTGTTCAAACTTACCAAACAGCACGAACAGCGGATACTCTCTGTGATATGTTTGACCATAAATAGTTCTGAAGATTCTGTTTGTAGGAGGGCTTGTTTATGTAGTGCTTTAACGAGAGATGAAAAGATAGTGGAAAATGGACACATCCGCTGACAAGCAGGTGGGAAATATTAGTCTGTGAACCCAAGTTAACCAAATACATACACATGCACAACACACCCCACACCGTACCACCCCCATCATACCACATCTCTGTCTCTGTCTCTGTCTCTGTCTCTCTCTCTCTCTCTCTCTCTCTCACACACACACACACACACACACACACACACACACGGATACAACTTTCTGTGCCTGTTTTTGTTGTTTGTGTGTATATATGATTTGAGGACTGACTACTCTGCACTTTATAAACCATCACAGAGGCTTGTTCCTGGGAGAGGCTAACCTCATCCCAGTGGTCATTAGTCTCTGTAGTTCTCTGTCTAGGGTTAGGTCCCCACAGAAACGTCCCCTTGCATGTTAAGTCCATTGATAGTGACTTTGCCCCAGCCTTGTTTATGCAGCCATTTTTAGGAGAGCCCGTTTCACAGCAGACTTCTCGGTGTTTTGGTTCTTACAATCTTTCCACCTCATCCCTCCTAAGTGTTCCCTGAGCCACAGATGCAGGAGCTGTGATGTAGACGTATTTGTTGGGGTTGGGCTCCCCACAGTCCATTGATCTCTGCATTGTGTCCAGGTGTGGTTCTCTGTGATGGTCTCCATTTGATGTAAAGAGATGTTTCTTTGGGGAGCGGTGCTGGCCACACTCACCCAGGAAAGATGGCCCATGCACAATGATTCAGGTCTATAATGGTACAGGTCTATAACTTAGCTATATTGACTTGTTTATAAAATATTGACAAAAACATGTGTATATTGTTAGTATATTTTCCATCTGTAGTTGGTGACAGCGAGGACAAAAACCCTCCAGATATGGAAATCTGACTCTACAGTAAGTCCTACTATGCACAGACCTTGCTTTTGACCCTGTTATTATTAATGCATGTATGTATATGTTTCATGTGTAGAGTTGTACATTTGTGTGAGGTTGTAAATGCACTGATGTGGAACTTGCCATGTAGGCTAGTCTGGCAGGCCAGTGAGCCCCAGGGATCTGTGCAGCTTTGCCTCCTGTGTGCATAGGTTCCGAGTGCCTATAGCTGTGCTTAACTTCTTATATGGGTTCTGGGGGAACAGAACACATGTCCTCCCGTTTGCATGGCAAGTACATTCTCTACAGAGCTATCTCCCCAGGCCCTGTTCTCCATCACCGAAACTGTTTATTCTCGAATAAGCTGTACCAAGCTGAGCATGGGGCTGGCTGTTATAAATATTAATTGGTACACGGCTTCTTTTATTCTTAGCCCTGAATTGAAGAATTAATTGGAGAGCTTACATTGGGGACCGCTTAAACACTTGTGTCCTTTCTTAACCTACCGTTCTGTCTTCCCGTCTTGTGTCTTTTCTTTTCTGAAAGGTAGGGTTAATTGTCAACATCTTCGTAAAACTCTCTGGTTCTTTCTGTCACACGGGGTGTTTGGTGTAGATTTAACTTCGGGTTCTTGAGCTGAGTTTCACAGAGACCTTCCCCCAGGCTCTTTTCCCAAAGAGCGCCCTGCCAGACAGCCTGTGTTTTGCTGTAGCAAGTCAGGTGCTGCAGCACCACTGGGGCAGCTCCTTTCTTTGGCTTAAGCTCAGTTTCATTAACAAGCATGTTCACACTTCAACTGGAACATTTAGAATAACACCCGCACAATGTGTTTAGTGTTTAGTTAATTATTAAGTCTCTAAGCTTGAATTATTCAAGCAAAATTGATTGGGTTCAACCTTTTTCCTTCTCTTTGTGCTTTAGAAACAAAATAAACTCTCTCCTCGACTCTCTGAATAATTTGGGAAGGGTTATTTAATAAGTTTCAATACCCCAGTCCGTGGGTGGTACCCAAGTGAGAATAGAATAGGTAGAGAGGACAGGCAGCTTGAGTCTTTTGTTAAAAATTGTGTTTAAGGCTGGGCTGTGGCTCAGTGGACAGAGCTCTTTGCCACCCTGTATTCCTTTCCAAGCCCTGAAAAAAAAAAAAATAAACAGCATCTGCAACTCATATATTTCTATCACCAGTGTGACATTTAAAGATAACTTCCTCTATAATTGTTCTTAGACTTTAAAAAATTACGTTTAATTTATCTGTGCACGTGCATGCCACTGCATGAGCCTGGAGGTCAGAGGACAATGTGCAGGAACTGGTTTCCCTGCTTCCATCGCGTTGCTCCCAGGAATAGAACTCAGGCTGTCTAGCTTGGCGGCAGGTGCTTTTCCTGCTGAACCACCTGGACTGTGTGTGCTCTTTATTACTTAATCTCAAGAATAAGTGAAATTGTTAAAAATATGTTGACTTCATCCTTAAAAAAAAAAAAAAAAAAAAACCCTGGTGGTTGAAGAACATTTCTTGACCTAGATAGATAAAGGTATAAAACTTTCCTTTACTGTGTAATGTGTTTGTTAAAATAGGGAGAAAAAAAAAAACAAGTGTAAACACCAATGACAATGAAATAACAACTATATTATCAAAAATATAACAAATAAATAATAAAATATATTATCTACTTTAGGATTACATTTCACGTTTACAGTGTCATTTATTGAACAGGCACACACATAAAGATGTTACGGCTGGAAATGATTAACCTTTTGTCTGAATATCACTCACAAGTCAAGAACACATTGAAAATAATGCAGTCCTTATTTATGCCAGGCAAGAACAGGCCTGGAAAGTGTAAGTTTCGGAAAAAATTTACAATATCCTGCGAATCACGGCAACTTTAACCGGAGCCTTCATTTTCAGTCTTCAGGTCTAGGCCTTCATTTCTAGTTCTCCCCCTGCTTTCGTATTACTAAGATGTAAAAATGATTCATTGCACGCACTGCCATGGAAAACGGGTGTGGGGAAGGAATAGAAAGCCATCAGAGGAGGTGGCAGTTGTGGGGTGCGCACAGATAACAGAAGTGCGGTGACCCAGTTTAGCTGTCTGAAAAGTAGGTTCTTCCCCCAGCATTTTGGTTTTGGGAACTCTCTCCCCAAAACCAAGCTCACAAAACCCCGAAAGGGCCCCACCGGCAGCAGGTGCCTCGGCCCTTCAGGGACTCGCTGTTGCTGCATTGTGCTGGATTGCAGAGTGGCTCTGCGCGCACCTGGAAGTGTGCTGACAGAGGGGGCTGTAGGTTTGGTGACAGTGGCGAGCTGTCTTGGTTGGGGGAGCTGGGTAACCTTGGGTGAGGAGGAACAGGCTCGGTCTAGGATCTTTCCGGTGGAGAAAACACCGGGCTGCACACTGGAAAACTTTGGGGAGCAGCAATGGGAATCTCTCCCGTTCGAGGTCCCGCAGGCGCGACGCGGATGGTGGGGCAACACCAGCCTCTGATTATTCTTCAGTCCTGGGGAGATGACACAAGTGCGGTGATAGGAACACGGGAGAGCGGGGCGTGGGAAAGCCGAACGCGGGCAGCGCGGGCAGGTAGCCAGCGTCGGGAGAGGCTGGGAGCCGAGGGTACCCGTGCGGGACGGCCCCGGCCCCGGCCCGGCTTGGGGGTGGTCGGCGGATCCCGGCGGCGAGGCGGCGGGGCGCGGCGCCCGGCGCGTGCCTGGCCGG